CATGATTTTATACTATACTGTATATCGATGACTATCGATTAATTCGTTCATTACTAATTTGTTTGTACATGTGTGTGAAGAATCGAATTTTCAGTTTTTTTTTATTGTTCGAATATCTGATTGTTTTCAAATTTCTAATTGTAAATTTTGTGAAATATGAATGGTGATTCAAAATTATCAAATGGACTTTCAAATGCTTTAATATGTTCCATTGATCAAAATGAAAATGATTCTACCGTAAAATCATTTAGACCATTAGAAAATATTATTAATGAAAGAATAAAAAATGCATTCATAACAAACAAAAATGATAATATCATCAATAATGACGCTGTTGATAATGATCATAATGTTGATGATGATGACCATGACCATGACATTGATGATGATGATTTTGAAGATGAAGAACAAGATGATGATGATATTCAAGTAATTCCATCATTGATAAAAGTATTAGAAAAACAACAACAACAACCGATAATGGAAATTTCATCATCACCGAATATAAATTTTAAAAAATGGGTCGATGCATTTAAAAAAGATTTGGAAAAATGTCAACCAACAACAGTAGTATCGGATGATTCATTTAATGATTATAGTTTTGATTTGGATTGTTCAAGTGATATTATTGCCAATGATAATGATAGAATTGTTGTTGGTAAAAATAATTTATCAATTTTTGATGATAAAAATCCATTACCACAGGATACAAGTGATAATTTTTCAACGCTGTTAACTGAAAAAAATCAACAAATCAAACGAAATAAACCACCTGTACAATCAACACCTTTACCTGATATTCAACGTCGTCGTCAAATATTTAACAAAGTGGCATATCGATTATCATCACCAGATTTATTAGTCGATACTGATCAACCGATCATTAAAAAACCAAATGAATCTAATTTCGATGATGATATTGAATTTGATGAAATAATTACCGAACATCATTCACCTGAAAATGTTATTTCCATCGAACAATCATCGAATAATGATAATCAGTCATTAATCGAACATCAAACATTACAAATATCTTGTCCAAAATCATCATTATTATTATCTGATAATAATGGTTATAAATTATTATCATTGGAACAAATAATTGCCCAATTTGAATGACCAACTTCAATGTCAATTAATAAAACAATTTACAAAATTTTTAAACCAGAATTCTTCTGCTGTTTCAGCGGAAGATAATGCGAAATTCGCTGGCTAATTATGGAAAAAAATGAATAATTTTTTTTTTTTGGTTGTAATAAAATTTTATTACGATTTTACAATTTTAAATTGGTTTTAAAAAAATAATTAAATAAGATTTATGATTCTATAATTGTTGATTCAATATTGGTAGCGATAATTCTATTTTTCGATATACAGTTTTGAATGAAATTTTTGGCAAGAGTGCAGTCTTCAACCAAATTGAATGAAATTTTTGGCAGGAGTGCAGTCTTCAACCAAATTGGTTTAGTGAATCAAAAGGTCTAAGCCTTTCATAAGATTCAACCAATAAAGTCTGTGTCAATTATTTATTTTTTGTCAATAGTGAAAATATTTACAATTTTCGTCTATCTTTGTTATCCTAAAGTTAATTACTAAATTAACTTTTTTTTTTATAAACGATAACTTGATGATGAATTCGAACGCTTGAGAACCGACATTTGAATTCCATGGAATCAAAATAATAACGAATACCACGGTCGTTTAAATCGTTCAACTTAGTTTTAATTTTTTTTCGTGGAATCAACTTTGTTTTAATTTTTTATTTTTGAATCCATCATCGTTATCAATTAGTGAATGTTTTCTGGAGATTTTATTTTGTATGGTAGGGTTGTTGAGGTGATTTTAAATGAAGCCAAATAGCTGCAATTATATACATTTTCAAATGGTATTGTTAATGTATATATTTTTCTAAATTTAATAATCATTATTAATCAAAAAAAAAAACAATAAAAAAACAATAAAAAATTCCGAAAAGCATTTATTTTATTAACAAACGTGAAAAAAAAAAAAAAAAAAACAGAAGATTATGATGAGAAACGACCCGTTCGAAAACACGTCCAAACAAATGGACCTTACCTTTGAAGAATACCTTGGCCCCTTGAAAAAAAAATCATTATTAACACGTGATTGAAAATAAAATATACAAACTTTATTTAAAGTTTTTAAATTGTAAAATTTATTTATTTAGTTATTATTAAATTCCATTTTATCCTTATACAGATAATAATAATAATAATAATAATAATAATTTTTTCTTAAAAATAATAATGAAATACACATTAATGAACAATGTCAATGAAGAAGAAGAAGAGAAAATGTAATATGTAATGTGAGTGTCTGAATTTTAAAAACTTTTCTTTAATGGAAAAAAAATGATGACAAAATGCTCGTTTGATTGATGATTTGATTGGATGATGATAAAAATAATAAAATGAAGGGAGGATTGGGGCATTATGAATCGAATTGGAATTTATTTGGTCATAATGATGATGATGATGATGTGGATATGGATGAATTATTTTCTTTTTCAAATTGAATGAATTTTGTTGATTAATTAACTAAAAATGGTGGTAGAAAAAAATGGCCAAAAAAATGTGGATTCAAGATTCGGTTTTTTTTTCAATATTCATAATCTAATGATTGCTTAATTGATCAGTCAATGTTGATTGTTGTTCAGTTTGATTATTATCATCGTAATTGAATTCGATTCCAAGATTTTGATGAATAATTCTATCATCAACAATATCTTGTGGATTAAACCATTGTTTAATAATATCAACTAAACTTGTTGTAACTTTATCAGCAACTTCAATTTCATCAGATGATGGTTGTATTGGTTCATTTGTTTGTTTTAAACGTTTTTGTTGTATTTCTTCCAAATTTTCTAAAAGTTGTTTTGTTTCTTTCAAACGTTTTTGTAAAAGATCTTCTTTTTCCGATTCTTCCGAATTTTCATCAATATTATCCACACTACACAAATCCAAATCCATATCTGTTATTGATTCAGTTGGTGGTGTATTTGGTGGTGGTTGATAATCACCATTCGATACAATCGATAATAATGAATCAACATAAGATTTCATTAAATATTCACCATCATTTGCAATACGTTCAATTTCTTCATTATGTTTTGTTTGTTCAAATTTATCAAATGTATTAAATAATAATAATGTATCATTATGATTTATTGTTGATTGATCAGAATTCATATAAGGTAGATGACTAATGAATGAATTTTTTAATAATTCATCCGTATAATTATATGGATAAATACGTTCCATTTCAGATAATTGATATATTGGTAATGATGTTGTTCCTTCATTTAAATGTGTACCAGTTAAATGACCTAATGTTATTATTTGATGATCATTATTATTATCATTTGATTGACCAACATTAATACGATTATCAATAATGAATGGTAATGTTGTTGTACCATCTTCATTTTGACGATTAAAAATAATATTTTTATTCTTTTCTGGACGTGAAAGTGTTAATTCGGGAATTTCTACAGCAGTAGTAGAATTGGTGGTGACAGAAGAAGATTGTTGTTGTTGAAGTTTTTGTTGATGTTCCTGTAAAATTTGTTGTGGTGTTTGTTCTATTAACTCTTTAGTATCATTGAAACAATCAGTAAATCCATTTTTATAATCAACATTTAACATTGGTTCACATTTTGTATCATTCAATAATGATTGTAATGTTAATGTTTCTGGAAATTTTTTTACATTTGCAGATGAAATGCCATTTGTTATGATTGATGATGTTGATGTTGTTGTTGTCGTCGTATTTGTTCCATTCAATTTATTCAATGAAATTTTATTCGGATTATCCATACCTAAATCCGATATTGTTAATGGTGGAAATTGTTTTAATTGTTCAGCTAATTGATCACGTGCAAATATACGTGTTTTAGCAAAATACCATAAACGTGATGCTTGACAATAATGCATTCCTGAATGACGATAATATCGGATAGCATTTTCACATAATAATCTTACATCATATTTTAATTCAGCAACTGATTGATAAATATTATGTTCAATTTTTTTTCTTATTGTATTAAAATCCATTGGATGTTTTACAATTTGTGAATAACCAGGTGTTAATGAATCAATTACAGGCCATGCAAATAATTTCTGTGGATCTTTCATTTCAAGACGTTTCAATAAGGATAGTAGAAAATTTTGAAATACAATTTGATTTGATGATGATGATGATTTTCGAAATTTTGTTAATGAATTTTTCATTTTTTCACACCTTCTCAGATGTTCATATAGATTATTTGAATCACAACGAACATAACCTTTTTGTAATAATTGCCGATAAACTGATGATGTTGATTTTAATTTTCGATGTATATCTTTATTATTATTTCCGGATGATTTCAAATCAAAAAATGCAGATTGTTGTGAATCATCACCACTATTATTCATTTGACCACCATTATTTAATTCACCAATCATTTCATCACCATCATCAGGTACAAGTGCTGATATATCTAATTTTGAACATGAATCAACATCAATCAAATCGACTGATGAAAATATTGAATCTTGATTCATTGATAATATAACATCATCATCTTCTTCATCATTATCCTCATCATTATCATCAATCATTTCAACTGATTCTTGATGTTGAATAGTTTTATCAGTTTGTTCAGGAAAAACGATAGAATTTTCTTTGAATGAATGTCCATCCGATAATTCCATACAATCACTATTATTATTATTAACTGTTTGATCATCAACATTCGATAAAGAATTCTTAATAATATTATTAGATGAGGTTGTTGTTGTTGTTGGCAAAGAATCGGTGATTTGTAACGTTTTTTCATTTTCATTATTATTATTATTTACATTTTTTACATTGTTGACAAAATCGTTAACAATAGAGGTGTTGTTGTTATTATTACTACTACTACTACTACTGCTGCTATTATTTAATTCTTTACTTTGGTCGATTGAATTTGTTTGTGATTGATGATCATTATGATTAGTATTATCTAGAATAGAATTTGATGATGTTAAATCATGATTATTATTATTATTATGATTATGATGGTGATGGTGGTGATGATGGTGATGGTGATGATGTTTCTTTTTCTTCTTTTTTGCTTTACGATTATTATTATTAATACGATCAATTTGTTGAAAATCAACATTATGATGAAATGCATCACTATTTAATGGTAATAATTCTGGTGGTGTTAATGATGATGATGATGATGGTGAATTATTATCACCACCAATAGAAAATATTCTTGAATCTTTTGAAATATCATTATTAATAACAACATGATTATTATCAGTATTATTATTCTGATTATTAAGAAAAGATGTTGCTGTATTTGTTGATGATGCAGGTGAATATGAACCAGCATGGCCAACTTTTAATACAATTTTTAATGGTTTAGTTGGTGATGATAATGATGATGATGATGTTGCTATTTCCATTGGTAATTGTTGTCCATTTACAATAGTTGCTGCTGCTGGTGATAATGATGATGTATCAACACTCAATGGATTATCAATAAATACAGAATTATTATTTTCAATCATCGTTGTTGCTGATGATGATGATGATTTTGATGAATTTTTAAGTCTTTTATGTTTCGTAACCAAAATAAGATCAGCGGAAGAATTATTATTATTATTATAATTATTAATAACAGCACCACCACTATTGGTAGAGGATGATGTTGTTGTTGATGAGGATTCAAATCTTTCGGTCATTTTCATTGTCAATCTCTATTTACTAAATGAAATGAAATTAAAATCCAAATGAAATTTACAACTTTAAAAATACCTTTCTTTTCCTGAATAATTAATAGCAACCTGGAGAGAAGAAAAAAGGAAGACCAAAAATTCTATTTCAAAACATGAAAAAATCGGTTATTCTCGATGATCAAATGACATTTTTTGCTGGTGTGTATTGCATTTTTCTTGTTTTTCACACGTTTTTCGTTGTCTTGTTGTTGTTGTTAAGGATCTTTAACAGTCACAATAAATGTCTTCTGTCAAAAAAAATAATGGTTTATATGACGGATTGATTTGCTCGATGATATCAACAAAATGATAACTTGGATTCAATGGATTTTCATCAAAACACAAACACAAAAATATATTTTGGCTTCTCTCTTTTCTTTCAATTTAGCAGCAACAGAAAAGCAGCAGAGGTAGACGATGATTAAAATACTTAAATGAATTAATAATACTTTCTTTTTGTTTTGTTTTTTGGAAGTCTTTTTTGAGTATGATTCAATGATGATCAACCACCAGTAGCATCAAAAAAATATCAAGGAAGAATTTTCATATAAAGACCATCAGGCCACCACCATAAGACATCGAAACAGAACAAAAATCTTCATTCACATCAGAGCAGGATTAAGTATTTATTATCGTCGTCGTTGTCGTTGGTGATGAGGATGTCAATCAAAAAACCAAGCGCGCCAAAAAAAAGACGACTGATATCTTTTTTGTTGATAAAATCAAAATCAAAATCAAATATGATTCGATGTGTCTTTCACTATATATATTGATAGACGACGCACACACACATGCGATCTTTGAAATGTTTTTATTAAAGGTTTTTTTCAGTCTAATGCGATGCGATCATCAAAAAAACGCATGGAACCAAGGGTAAAGGTTACAACAACATTGTTGTGTAACACACACACTTTTTGCATAGGAATGAGAGAGAGAAACGATGAAACCCACCAAAAAAACGAATCCAATTCAACACACACCACAGGTTTCGTTGTTGTTTTCTTTTTTTTACAAGATAGTGGCGGTCGCTGGCTTATATCATCGAAAATCCCCCATTTTTTTCGTTTTGATCGATGTAAAAAAAGAACCAAGAAGCAAAAAAAAGGAGCAAACTCGAGTCACAATGAGCTCATTATACACAGGCAGACAGAGAAGAAGAAAGGGGATTTGATAGATATACAAACAAACACAACACAAAACATTCCACACTTTCACACACACACACACACCACTCATTCACTTTTTTTTTCTTCGGATGTTAAAAAAAGCCAGGAGCGAAATACATTGGGAGAAAAAAGCATTGAAAATTATTATCATCAAAACACACACACATTTAGTGTAATCCGTGTAAAAAAAAGAAAGAAAAAAAAAGAAAAACAAGTATTAAAAATGTGAATCTCATTTGAGTAAACGACGACGACGACGATGATGACAATCGTACAACGATCCTTGATTCGAAGGAATCCTATTGTTCATACACACACACGCTATATACATAGCTGCTACCACTCTACTCGATCAACCATAGTAGTGGCAGTAGTTTTTTTCTTGTTCTTTGTTTTTTTTTTGTGGAGCTAAATGACTTTATTCATAAAAGACGTATTTGAATGTTTTTTGATAAAAACTTTTTTTTTTTTTTGATTTAAATGAGTAAATTTGATTGATTCCAGGTTAATTGATTTATTCGGGGAATCTTCAATGATTTGATGATCAAAATTGTTGAATTTAGTAAAAAAGAAATTTCTCAAATATCTCAAAAGTCAATCTGAAAAGGGAAAAACAAAAAAATAAAGGTGTGTTGAAATTTTAGTTCGCTCGATACAAACTAGATGGCCATAGTGTGTATGAAAATGGATTATTTTTAATTCGAATCTTCCTTCCTTCATTTCGAAAATTCGAATGAATTTCTCATCAAACTTTTCTCATCAAAAAACTGATTATCAGATTTATCGATAATAATGAAAAGACAACCGAAACTTTTAATAATCTTTTTTTCCGATATCGATCAATATCGACAACAGCAGAATGTATGAATCGAAATTCTATAGCAAAAACTTCTTCTGTTCTACATTCTCAAATGTTTATTGTTATTAACTTGTTCCCAAAAAAAAATGAAAATATTCATTTGTTTGAGACGCCGTTTGAAACGTGTGCATAATGAAATGATGACAGACACATTGCTCAACTGTCAGGTAATAATATTTTTGATATATAAAAAATGTTTTTTTTTTGTTTTAAATTTATCAAAAAAGTATTGTCGGTCTATGATTGATCATTAACGACAAATTTATGTCGAACGTGTGTGTTCAATGTTTTGCCGATAAAAAAATGTTCAAAAAGAAATTATATTTCAAATTACAAACTAGATTCTTCTATAGAATGTGTATAGAAATTATGTGATTAACCTGAATTCCCTTTTTTTTGCTCGCAGATTAATTTTGGTCATCATCATCATTATTTTTACAAGTGTTGTACCCTTTTTTTTTCTCTCGTCATTTGCCTTGAACACCTACAGTACCGCCAGCAGTACATTGTATTTAAATATCATTTTTTTTTGGTTACCTATCTGAAATGTAACTAATGATTTGACCACAGATAGATGACCTAAATTTGGCCTTATTTTTTTAACGGTCAGCCAATAATAATGATCATATTATTTTGTTTGTCATTTCGAAATATGGGCTTAAAGAAGCCGGACGTTTTATTCACTGAAAGAAAAAATACCAATCAAATCTTGATCATTTGTCTTAGCTAAATTAAAAAAAATTTACAAAATTTATCAAATTTTACTCAACTTTACCTATTTCAACAGAATGCGATCGAATTGTGCCAAAATTGCTAATTAGAGATTTTTGTTTTTGTTGTTGTTGTTGGGTAAGTTTTTTTTTTTTTTTTTTTAAATTCTTTTCAGATTTTTTTTTCCAAAAATTAATCCAAATTTTAAAAAAAACCTAATTTTTTTNTGATCATATTATTTTGTTTGTCATTTCGAAATATTGGCTTAAAGAAGCCGGACGTTTTATTCACTGGAACCATCCAAACAAGTCTTGATCATTTGTCTTATCTAAATTAATGTTTTTTTAAAAAAAAAAAATTTACAAAATTTATCAAATTTTACTCAACTTTACCTATTTCAACAGAATGCGATCGAATTGTGCCAAAATTGCTAATTAGAGATTTTTGTTTTTTTTGTTGTTTTTGGGTAAGTTTTTTTTTTTTTTTTTGATAAATTCATTTCAGATTTTTTTTTCCAAAAATTAATCCAAATTATAAAAAAAAACCTAATGTTTATTCCTTTTTTATTTCGTTATTTACCCATCAGCAATTTGTTTTGTTTTTGAATCATTTTAACCCAAAATATTATCAGTAAGTGACAGTAGATGGCCCTATCATTTTATTTAGTAATGTTTTTTTTGTTATCCAATTTGCAATATCAGAAATTATGTTCTGATGTAATTCTTCCATTTCTGAATCTGATCTGATATTATTCATTTTCATTTTATGGTTGCTATAGATTCCAACAAAATTCATAAGCATAAATTCGGACCAAAAAAAAAAGAAAATAGCGTCCGGTTTAACAATAATGGTGACCCATATATTCTAACTCAATGAATTTTGATTTCCAAAATGGATTTCATTTCCAAAAAAATATATTACTAAAACACACACACAATTCTAATTGTATCATAGACATTTTTATCTTTCTTTTTTTGTTTTAAATATAGGCAATCGACAGATTGATAAAATGGATAAATCATTTGTTAAACATTCAAAACATGATATGGCTCCATATACATTTCATTTACATTCAAATTTTGCTCAGCTTTTAGCATTAATACGTCGTGGTCATTATGATGATGTTATTGAATTATTACGACATGAACCAAAATTGCTCAAACTACGTGATCGTATGGGACGTTCAGCATTACATCATTGTGCTGATTGTTGGCCGCTGTCAATTAATCGACCAGATATTAATGCCGATATTGGACAATTATTAATACGAATGATGCCATCAATGATCGAATGGCAAGATCAAGAAGGAAATATACCATTACATTTGGCTGTGATCAATGGTGATATTGGTCTTATAAAAAATTTACTTAGATCTATGACACCTATACAGATTAATATTGCCGATCATGAACTACATACAGTTATACATTGGGCTGTGGTCAGTGGTCAATTGGATGCCATGACAATGGCAATTGATCATGGTGCCAATCCATCTACACCAGATATTTATGGCGCCTATCCAGTACATTATGCTACACAGAATTTTCTTGACAATAGCAATACAATAAGTACAAGTAAAACTGGATCAACACGTCATCTTCTTCAAGCACAACAGCAACAACAATTGTTTGGCTCATCAACTTATAATCTTCATCAATTGGAACCTATTCCACTACTATTACCGGAGATAAATTCAAAAACAAAATCGTCGTCCAGCCAACAACAACAATCATCATCACAACGTCGAGCAACTTCATTACGTATCTTACACTATTTACTGACCAGACCACAGATTGATGTTAATTGTATCGATAATGAACAACGAACACCATTAATATGGTCCGCTAGTTCAGGTATGTGTTTGTTTTATTTCGATTCTGTTTCCCAAAAGAAAAAACATTATTCTTCCCATATCTTCTTTCGGTTACTTCTCTAACCTTCATTTTTTCCATTCATTCATTCATTTGTTTCACTTGGCTGGATTTGTTTTGACCAAATATTTTTTTTTTTGCTGTTGTTACCATAGCATATTGGTCATTTTATTTCGTGCATAATTAATTAGAGTTGATAATTTTTTTTCAAATCATTTTCTTTTTTTTTTTTTTTGGTCATCATCATCATGCTGACCAATTGTTTCGAGTACCATTTTTTTTTGTAATGATGAATATTTCATATTGTGCGTAATTATCTATGCCAAGGTAATCTCCAAGGAAGAGAACAGGAATCATAAATTCATAATTTTCATATATGTTTTTTTCCTATTTCATTCATCGTAGAATTCTGTTGTTTTTCAATGAATCAAATGAATTTATATTCAAATCTATCACTGTAATAATCGCTTATTGGAAACATTTTTGCTTCCCTAAATTCAGTCTGTATTTGTATCCCACATTCATTCATTCATTCATTACAGACAAATGAGTAAGTTGATCCCCATTTTCAAATCCAATTCTATGATGCAATTCTCATTTCAAAATAGGTCAATTTCAATAATTATAGTTTTTTTAATAGGTTAAATTTACAAATTCTAACTGATTGATGCCTTGACCTCAATATATGATCATTATTATTATTCTGAAAAAACCCCATATATTTTATTAATGTAGGGAACAAAAAAATTTTTTTTTCTTTTTTGGAACCCGAATATCCGATTTCAGATGATCGGATTCATTGTTTTACCTGACGACGACTTGAATATTCGTCTGGTAAATTCTGTTTTTGTTGTGTGTTCATTTCAGACATTTGTGTTTGATTGTCCCCAAAAATTTTTTTTCTGATTTTGATTTTTTGTTCTATAAAACTTGAATAACCAACAATAATATTAACAGGTAATCATGATGCATTATTGGTTTTGGTAAAAGCTGGTGCCGAAATATCACAACAAGATAAAGACGGTCTTTCAGGTTAGAAATATCAGAAATAAGATTGAAGATTGACTTTTTAATTTCAATATTCATTAATTAATTAGCATTACATTGTGCATCAAGTCGTGGACATTATCGTTGTGTTCATACATTAATAACAATGTGTGGTGCTGATGTACATCAATTAGATTCTGGTGGTTGTACACCATTATTCTATGCAGTAGCATTAGGTCATCCAGATTGTGTACGGTTATTATTAGAATCCGGTGCACAATTAGATCATCAAGATCATAAAGGTCGTACTGCAGCACATTGTGGTGCAGCTAAAGGACAATTTGAAACATTAAAAATACTACAAGAAAATGGTGCAAATTTATGGTTGAAAAATGTTCGCGGTGATTTACCACTTCATGATGCTGTTAAATCTGGACGTGTTGGTAAGTTGAACAAATTTTTTTTTTTAATTTAATCAATTTTCTCTGAATCTCTTCATCTTTAGATCTTGTAAAATGGTTTTTAGATCAATCACCCGAATCTGTAAATGCAGTTAATCTTTATGGAAGATCACCATTACATATTGCTGCTTTTAATCATAATATTGAAATGTGTAGTTTACTTGTTTCATATGGTGCTAATATGAATTCAATTATGAAAGTACGTAATCAATATCTAACACCATTAGATGCTGCATTACAGAATGGATCAATAACAACAACAACAACTTCAACAAATCTAGATGAATTATTAGATTATCTTCGAAGACATGGTGCACAACCATTATCACAAATTGATAGTCAACTTGCTGATCATAACAATTATAATCTGCATAGTGAAATGGAAAATTCAAAATTTCAATTATCACCTTCTTCAAATAAAGATGTATCATCAGTTTCTAATGTTACTTTACAACAAGAACAACAACAACAAAATGCTCCCATTTTATTAGATACAAATTTTTCAAAAATCAAATCCAGACGATCACAAGAATCCAAAATTCAAAATAATGAAATCGAACAACAACGACATAAATCTAAATCAAAATTGGCTCGTTTCGATGATGATAATACCACTACAAAACTGCCTAATCTCGTACAAAATAATCAACAAACAAATGAACAGACTAGAGCTGTTTCATCAAAATCTCAATCTTCATCATCATTACCATCTTCATCACCATCGAATTCGGTTGTTCATTCAGCTACCGCTCATAATCATCATCATCATCGTCATCATTTTACTGATCGTTTGAAAAATGTTCGTGAATTTGATACTATTTTGGATGGTAATGGTGAAAATAATAAACATCCTACACATTTAAAACAAGCAATCATAACAAATGTCTATTTGACTACTACTACACCATTGGCTGCAGTAGCTGGAACAACATTACCATTAACAACATTGGAAAATAATGAAATTACTCATAGTTCGGATAAATCAATAGCAACAGGAACAGCATTAGTACCAGTTTATTATGTTAAACGTGTTTCACCATTGAAAAAAATTTCATCATCTGTATCACAAAAACGGACAAAAAAATTAAAAAAATCTCGTGTCATTAGTGATGGTCAAGTTTCGGTTATTCTAAAAACACATGATACGTTTTATACAGCATCAGATGATGTAGATGAACATGAGAAATTATTATCGAAAAAAAGTGAAAAATCTGAACAAAAATTGATAAAATCACATGATAATGATGAAGATTATATTGGAGAAGAAGATGATAAAATAGCAGAAGACCTGAATAGTGAACTTAAAGATGATCATAGTAATATTGGTGAAGATGATGATGATGAAAAAGTGGAAGAAATTTCAAATCTTAAAGAATTCGATGAAACAATTTCCGAACAAATGATGGACAAAAAAACGCCTGATTCTGGTTTTGAAAATGAAGAACAACGCCGGACAAGTTTGTCGAATAAAGTAAAAGAAAATGAAATAGAAATGAAAAGAAAAACTTTATCATCATCATCATCATCGTCATCTGAATCAAATCTTGTTGATATAAAACGAAAAGATTCAAAAATCGAATCAACACACGAAACAGAAGATGGCACTGTTGATCATATTCATGAAACGATACGATCTGATTCGAAAGATAGAAATCGACCAGAAATTCCCCAAGAATTGATACAACGAGATTTTGTTCAATCATTAAATGATGATGATAATATAGGAATAGAAGATGATAATAATGATGATGATGATGAAAGAAGAAAACGTTCAATTTCCAATATATTAGAAGAGCCTAAATTTAAAGCACAAAAATCAATCGAAAGTTTACAATCACAAAAATTATCAGCTGCTAATTCAATTGAAGATGAAGTTAAATCTATAAAATCAGACCAAGATTCCACTGATAAACCAACTGATCAATTGGTGATCGTTAGCATTACGCAAAAAGTTCCTGATGATGATGATGAACCTCGGATTGTTGAAGTTATTGGCGATCAAGAAGAAAATAAAAAAGAGGAAGTTGAAACATTGGATGACCAAAATGAACAAGATACGAACATTGATCATGAAACTGTGAAAACTGATGAAGATCTTAATGAAGTGAATGAAGATGAGATTTATAAAAAAGAAATCAAATTTGATGTCATTGATGATATACCATCTGAAATGATAAAAACAGATGTTTCTTCTATGCATGATGCTGATGATGTTATCGATACGACAGGCGAAAAAATAATTGATACTGCTGATTCTGATGTAAAAAGCCTCGATAATGCTGGTGATGATAATACAAGTGTTGATGGTGCTTTACATTCAATCAAAAGTGTTGATTCCGTTGAAAAACCAAAAGTTCAAGAACCGATTATTGCTCCAGATGATGAAATTAATGATGATGCAAATGTTACTGCCAAAGTTGAAAGTGAACAAAAAGATTCACTTACTGAACCACCTAGTCGAATTTTGTTACGACGAAATTCATATACAAAAGGTTCAATTGAATTGAATGAAAATCAACAATCATCTGGTAATATTAATGATCAACCAGCATCATCAACTGTTTTTGAATCATCATTTGGTCCTGTTCGTCAATTAAAAGGCAAGAAAAAATCTTATGATTATGTTCGACCAAAAGTAGATTCATATTGGTCAGATGATTATCATCGTCAACATCAACATACGGATCATTCACCTAATCATTTAGTATTATCGGGTAAACATGATCATCATTACAAACATCATCACCATCATCATAATGATAGACATGGTGGTAGTATGGGATATTTACCTTCAACATCAATGAATGATGAATATTCACGGATTGATCCAAAAATAATCAATCAAACAGTAGAAAAATATTTGAGAAAGTTGGTAGAATTTTTTTAGATTTTAAAAATTTTTTCTCATTGAATTTTTTTTCCATTATCATGACTAAAATATTATCTAGATATTATCTAGAAAGACAATTGTTTGAAGAATTATATGATTTAAAACGTTATCAAATCCGTACTGGACGTACAAATGAACCACAATCAGTTCGTCGGTTAGTTGATCGATTTCGTCGTGAAATGAAAGCACCAGGAATGGTTGATTTTAAAGGTCCATACACTTATCGTGCTTATGAAATGTATCTTTATGGTAATGAAATTTTTTTTTCTTTCTAACCAAATTTTTGTTGTAAAAGTGTAAATGACTTTAACTTTTAAAAAACAAATGATTTTAGATTTACTTCGACAATTATCACGTTCAAATCAGAAAAAATTAGCTTATATGACTAAAGTAAGCATGTTTAGATTTTATTTTTATAGTTTTTTTTGATAATTTTTTTTTCACGTTCAAGTCAATCAGTTATGATGATTTAGCTGCAAACTATGAACGTTTGCATGCTGAAACTGATCAACAACATAAACGTCAAAGTCATGGACATTATTCTTCGAAAAATTTTGGCCCATCAGATGTTTCTTCCGATACATCTGAAACTACTCATAATCATGATGAATATGAGAAAAGAAAAAATGAAAGAGAATCGGCTACTCAACGTCATCATCATCATCATCATCATGGTCATTCGAAAATGGATCCACTATTAGATTATGATAGACATCCACATGGTTTAGTTGTTGATTATAAATATGAATATCATAAATCACAACATCGAAGAGGTGATTCTTATCAAGGTGAATTAGTTGATGTGATATATGAAAATCTTTATAAAAGTACTGGTGTTCATGGATCAAAAATGGATGAAATGGCAGTATCAAGAAAAATAGTTCAACGATCAGGTCAAGAAGAAGAAGAAGATGATGATGATAATAATGATGATGGTTCCAGAAAAGAAAAAAATGCTGCAACATCAGCAACAACAACAGCGGCTGATAATCAAAAAAATATGGATCAATCAGATCAAAAGGTAAGATGGCCTAGAGATAATGATACAAGCCATAGTTGTTGTGTTACTAAAAGAAAATGTGATGATGATGATGGATATGATTTCTCTCGTTGTTATCTATATGGCCATCATGGATTATCGCCATTAAATTTGATTGAATCAAATTCAAATAGTCCGGATAATTTACATCGACGATTAATCAGATTAGGACAATCATCGATCATTAATAATAATAAAAAACATGGTAAACAAAAAAGAAAAATCTATAAATTATCAAAAAAACCATATAAAGTAATTATACCACATGCTAATGAAATACATCAACGATGGCAACAGATTAAAGAACATGAACGTAAACGTAAACATTATATTCGTAATGATCTGCAATCATCATTTTCATCATCATCAATTGATTCCGATATAACACTTTGGTTTGAATTGAATCGTAAATGGCGATCTTAAAATTCGATTATTGTAGAGAGAGATGATTACAGCAGCATATTCTCGTCACACACACAAACAATTTAGAATAGTTTTCTAGATTTAATAGCTTTATTGATTGTTTTCTGCAAATCTTTTTTTTTCTTGATGAATCTCTACAAAAACTTTTATCATTTGTTAACAATTTGATGTGATAAAAAATTTTAGCAAATTGAGAATATACAACAACAACAACGACGACGATTATTAGAAATTATTTGATGTAATTTTTTTTTGGTTAGTATTTTCTTTATTTAAAAAAAAAATTTTATTTCATTAAAATCGTTAAATTTTAAATTTTGAATTTTGTTTTTTGGTTTTCTATCTAAATATTTTTTTTTGTTTGTTTCAAAAAATTTCAATGAATTGGACAACTATTCAATGTAATTTCGCCTTCAATTTTAGCATTATTCAATGTTTGTGGCATACCATTAATGCTTATGATTTGTAAACAACCAAGATAATCATCTTTTACATTGTTTAGTTGTGCAAGTTTTTCATCTTTAAGTTTGGCTGGTAAACCACCAATATACAATGGATCTTTAGTATCTGTTGATGAAATACCAGGCTGTCCAGTACTGATAGCTGTTGGCTGGTCATCAATTGTTAACATTACTAAATTTTTTGTTTTAAATGCCATTATTGTATGCCATTCACCATCACAAATACCATTTTTAACATAATCACTTGCAATGATTGGATCCTATATAATTAAAAAAAAAATTCAATTAATAAAAATTATTCATTTAAATTTCCTTTTTTAAAAAAATTTACCGCTCCATTATTCACTGAAAAGATTAATTTTCCTTTATCCAAATAAAGTACCAAATAATCCACTCGACCAAATACAGCAGCCAAAATACCATATGGTTTTCTTGGTTTTATCTTCATAATCAATGTAAATTCAACACTAACACGAAATTCATCAAATAATCTTATATAACCACCATTATAATGGAAAAAATGACCATTTTCAATTTCGGATGAACATTGTACAACATCATGATCACGACCATCTTTAAATGGATATTCTTGATCACGAACTTTAATATCACGTATACATCCGGCAAATGAAGACATTGCATAATTATAATCATTTTTATCAGCACTTTTCAAATGACTTTTGATTTGTGAACGTAATTCTTTCGGTACACCACCAACAAATATTGGTGAATTAACATTCAATGATGATGTTGATCCTGTTGATGATACTTCTACTGTTTCTTCATCCACACGTAAAAGACCAATTTTACCTTTACGGCTAAACGTTACTGTATGCCATTGATTATCATTATAATTTGTTGATAAAACAGCAATAGCACGACCAGAACCACAATCAAAACTATAATGAAGTTTATCATTAAGGAAATATAGGCCAATAAAATCAATATTATTCTGTGATGTTATATAGAATAATATACCATCAGCTTTGGTTGTTTTGAATTTCAATTGAAATCCACTTTCATTTTCTAAACCTTTTGCAACATCATTTGAAATTGGAAATTCATAACGACTCCATAATGAATTACCAAATCTTTTTTCTTCGGGATTTGAATCCGATTCTAATTTTGGTATTGGTGGTAGGAGACAATTTTCAAAATTCGGTATATTCAATTGACTTGATGGTTTACCACCACCACCAGAAGATATTTCCGGTATTATTTGATCTTTAAAATTTGTAACAAGTATTTCATCTTCATTAATTGATAATGGACATTTTTTAAAATCAACATTCATTTGATTATTTGAATTGGCAAAATTTAAAAATTTATAATTAATCGATATATCACCAATACAGCCAGAAAATTGTGAAAATAAATAATCAAAACGTTCGATAGGCATACCACCAATATAAATCATTTTCAAACGTATTAAATCCATTGGATTATTTATATCAATACTAAATGAATTTATATCATCAACATCCATATCTAATGTTCGTTGATTAAAATTTATCGTTATAAAATGCCATTTATTATCATTATAATATTGTAAATCTGTACGTAATAATTGATTATTACTTGTACGTAAAATGAGCATTCCATCCGCTAAATAAACATGTATAAATTGATCCCATTGTTCATTGCTCATTGCCATTATCAGACCAGATTTCACCAGGGTTCGAAATTTAAATGTAATCTGTATCATCATATCATTACGATCAGCATCATTTTTTATCGGTTCAATTTGTTGATCTTGAAATATTACATATGCTTTCGAATCAATAAATGATGCAACTCGAACAAATGTTGAACAACCAATCGTTATACCAAATGATTCTTTATGATTATTTAGATTTTGTTGTGTTGAATCGATTTGTAAATCTTTTATACAACCATCAAAACCTTCTTTTGTAACTTCATAATATGGATTAAGGCCACGATAACCACCAACATAGATATTATCATCGGTAATTAAATCCGTACTCAATCCCATTGAAAATCCTGATTGTTCATCACTATTATCCACTGTAACTAAACATTCTTTTCCTTCACGATTTACTTTAATAAAATGCCATTGTCCATCATTATATGTTTTTTCGGATGGTACTTTAGTAAAAATACTACCCAAATCATATTTAACCACTACCTTTCCATCATTCAGTTCGATTGAAAAATATGGTTTTTTCGTCGATGGATTTCCAATCAAAAATAGTAGACCATTTTTGTTGAATGTTTTAAATTGAAAACTAACAAAAACAGTATCCTTGAAATTCAAATCATTTCGGGCCAATATTATATAACTATTTCCTTTAAAACGAACATTATTTTCAGTAAATAATTCATTTGCTTGTTCATCGCCTTGTATGTTGTAGGAATTTTTAACATTCCAAAGACCCAATGGTTCATTATCCAAGAAAACATTCGAAACAACACCATAAAAATGACGATTTTTAACAGCCGGACTAAGTTTAATATTCGTTGGTACACCACCGATAAATATTTTTGATTGATCACGATCTAAATTAAAAACACTAGCCGAACCAGGTGCAATTTGTTGTGATTCGGTTCGTTGTTTATCCGTCAATACCGAAAGCCGTATTAGACGACCAAAACGTTCGACAATAATTTGATGCCATTTTTGATCATAAATATTTTGTGTATCTTCAATCATAGTTGGATTACCAGCACCAAGATCCCAAATCAATACTACTTTTCCACGTCTCAATTCCAAACACATATAATCATAATTTATGGATTTTCGTTTTGTTTTACCAATTGACATTTCATCCATTGTATCACGTTTTACCAAATCATTTGAACCATCAATTGGATTACCAATATAGGCCAACATTCCTTCCGGATAATCACCTTTAAATTTCATTGAAAATTTATTATATGTTGATGATTCAACAAGATTTGTTGGATTATTTAATTCCAATACAGAATTTTCACCAAAACGTACACCAACACGAATATTATTTGCTTGGTGACGAGCTAGCTGAATACGTTTCTTTAAATCAGCAATTTTATTCGATATTGTTGATGATACTTTTGCAAATTCCCGGTTCAAATCATTAATTTCATCCGTAGTGGAAATATTTTTCATACGTTCAACATCTTTTTGAAAACGATCAACATAATCTTTACTATCTTTAACATCCATTACAAAATTTGAATAATCTTTTATATCTTTTGAACCATCTTTTAAATTATCAATTAAATTAATTAAATTTAAAACTTCACTTTGTGTTTGTTGTACATTATCGGTTGATTTTTCAATTTTATCAATATTAATACGATCATTCAACATTGTTTCTAAATTCAATAAACTTTGATTTAGATTTTCAAATTGTTTAACATTATCCTGTGAAAGTAGATCAGCATGATTTATAATTGATTCACGTTCACGTAATTGATCAGCCAAATCATTTAATTGTCTATCGATTTTTGTTGCTGTTGGTTCTTGATTTATTTCTTGCAAATGTTTTAAATCATCCATAAATGTATTATCTTTTCCAATCGATTCTTTCAGATCATTCAAAATGAATTCACTATCCTGTACAGTATTACTGATTTTATCATATGCATTTGCTGCTTTCAAAGGATCGGTTGCCTGGTTTTTTGTTGTTGATATTAATTGATCAAGATAATCACTTTGCAGTGATTGTTTTTCAGCATGTTTTTCTGCATCCGTTACAACTTTATCCAATTCCATTAATGAATCCGTAATTTCATTACGTTTTTGTTCCAATTGTTTTTCATTATCAATTAAACGATTTTCTTGTTGTTTAATATCAATTTTCATACTTTCTAAATCATTAATATTTTTTCCAGTTTGTTCAATAAAATTGGTTGCATTTTGCATTGTCAATTCTGTTTGCGACATTTGTTTTTTGATTGTATCGATTTCATTATCGATTATTTCACGATATCCATTTTGTATAATTTTTTCAGCATCAATTGTATCACTACGTGCTTGATAGGTAAAATTTTTTAATTCATTTATCAAATTACTAATATTATGTTGACGAATTGATGAATCTTCAATATTATTTTTCATATCCAACCAAACGGTATAAAAATTTTCAGCAATTTTTAATGTATCATTAAAAATATTATTATCTTTATCATAACGGGACATATAATCATCAACAAATGGTTTTTGTAATTCCAAAAGGATTTGTTCACTTTCCGCAAGAATTGCATCACGATTCATTTGGTTTTCCGTATAATCAGCAATATTATTTTCTAAATGTTGCAGTGAATCAACAACTTCAACTGCTGATTGTAAAACTAATTTTGCTTTATTTCCAGCCGCGATTGAATCATTATATGATTTATTTACTTTATTCAATATATCGATTGAATTTTTTTCCATACTATCGGATTTTATATCCATTTTTTCAATTTGATTCAACAGATCTTCCGAATCTTTTTTTACTTTTGTAAAATTCCGTATATTATTCATACGTTCATCAGTTTCAGCAAATGTATTTTGTATACGTTCTTTAAACATTTTAATTTGATTTTGTACACTATTCAATTTACGATATGCTAATACTGAACTAGAAGTATTCAGCGTTTGTGATTCAATAAATTCAATATCTTTACCAATCTGATCGGCATCATCCAATAATGTATGTACACAATCACCACATTCTTGACAACCAGTTTCCGGTACTAATACCCAACGATCAGGACATTTTTCACATTTCGAACCAATAACACCTGGTAAACATTGACATTGTCCAGTAAATTGATTACATTGTTTAACACGTGAATATTTATCATTACAACCGCAAGATGTACAACCATATTTACTATAACCCCAATAACCAGGTGCACATGTACCACAATTTTTACCCGCAACACCAGTTTTACATGGACATTGACCCGAATCATCACAATTTATATCATTTGATGCTTCACCACACATACATGGTTGACAACCTTGACATGTTTGAAATCCATAATAACCAACGGCACATTGATCACAATTTTTACCAATAACATTTGGTTTACATTTACATGTTGCCATTTTATGATCACAATATTCTGATCCACATTTATTACATGAACATTCCGAACAATTTTTCTGTACAATTGAATCACCATAATACCAATCAGCACAATGTTCACAATAATTACCACCAGAATTGAATAAACATTTTTTACATTTTCCTGTGAATGGATCACAACTATCAATATCAGTTGGATCAATATTACCATTACATTCGCAATTTTGACAAATTTCACCAACAATATGTGGTTGTCCCCAATGACCAGCACCACATAATTCACATCTTGTACCATTATAACCATCACGACATGTACAACTTAATACTGAACCAGAACTTGATACTTCACAACTTGTTGCAAAATTATTTGATTCAATTGGTAATGGACATGCACAAATCATACAATCATTTGGTGTACCTTGGGTTGCATCACCATAATAACCTTCTGAACAATGTTCACAATAATCACCTTCAGTATTAAATTTACAATCAAAACATTGTCCAGTAATAGGGTCACATGTATTTGAATGACCATTACAACGGCAAGGTACACAAGCACCTAAATATGGTCCATGTTGAATCCGGTAATATCCTTCAGCACATTCTTCACATGATGTTCCACGATAATTCCTTGGACAAAGACATTGTTCAACACTTGTTGCTTTACGTTTAAATATTGGATCAATTATACGTCCAGAACCAGTTACAGATGTTTCCATTTGAAATTGAAATTCAATAACAATCGTATCTTGTGTAGAATCAAAATATTTTATACGAATATAAATTGCTTGCAAATCGACAAGTGTCATCATCAATTGTTCACGTGTAACATATGTTTCATCTAATTTTTTAAATTCTTTTTCCAACAAACGTATTGTAACGTTGAATTTTTCATTCAACACTGGTGATTCAATATTTTCATAAATCAATGAATAATTTTTACCAACAAAAATTATATCCGGCATTGATGATGATGGTTTATATTCACGATTATTATTACTAACTTTATTAATAATATTATAATGAAATTCACTTCCATACGATGTAATTTTATTACCAAGAAATTCATCTGGCAGCGATAAATACATTGATGATGATGATGGTAATTTATTATCAAGTTTTTCACGTGAAAAACTTGTACGAATTTGAAATTTTTCCATTACATAATCCATTTCATAATCTTCATTAATTTTCAATTGATTTATATCCAATAGATTTTCTTGCATCGTAATGTTAACTAGATCGATTTTTTCCGATGAAATTAATTGTATCGGTACGAAAACCATTGAAGATCCAGTACAACGGTCAGTATTTCCAAAACAAAAACATTTTGTACAACCATTCGAATTACTTTCTTCCAAATGATATGAATCAGTTTTACAACGATCACATAATTGACCATCAACATTTTTTTTACAAAAACATCTTGCTGAATTTTGATCACAAATTTCCGGCACTGTACCACGAATATCGCAACGACATAGCTGACAATTGGGAAAACCAAAAAATCCTGGCCGACATTTGTCACAAGTACGGCCAACAATATTCGGTCTACATTGACAATCACCAGTATCAACATTGCAACGTAGATCACGATTTTGTACACCCCTAGGATTACAACCACAATCAACACAGCCGATAATTTTATCAAAACCAAATGTAAGCGGTAAACATTTATCACAATCTTTACCGGTAACACCTTTCGGACAGATACAATCACCTGTTTTCCGATGACAAATAGCCGTTGATGGACAATTACATTGTTTACAATTTGGCCAACCATAATAACCAGTTTTACATAGGGAACAATCACGACCAATAACATTTGGTTTACATCGACATTGACCACCAAAATTTTCACATTTATAATCATATGATCCATCAATATTACATTCACACGGTAGAGCGCCACCATTAAAATCTACTGTAGTTGAAAATACTAATGATCGACAAAATTCGGTTGTATTTTTTGGATCAATAAAGTAATTATTTTTAATACATTCGGCCATAATATTTTTATGTCCATCCACAGGTACAGATTCGATTAATTGTTCATCAAAATTTTCAGCCGGTATAACCAACAGATAATCGAGATAAACATCGGAAATATTTGGGGAATTTTCATTTGTTGGAATTTTCAATGTAATTTGAAAATTTTTCTGTATGGAGAATGCAGTTGAATTCCATTCCATTGAATCTTTTTGTTTTAATGGTACACGACAGCCAACAGTATTCGGACAATGTTGTAATGTTGCAACACCACTATAAAGATGTCCATTTTGTATCAAAGCATCAATATCGAATTTTGGATTATTTGGTTGATAATAATTCAATATGAAATAATATGGTCCGGGTTTCGTTACCGTTCCTCTTATATCGATCGATTGCATTGAATCATTCAAACGTACTAATAATGGTGTTTCCGTAGTCGTAATTCCGGGATTAATTTGATTATATTGTGGATGTTCAACAATTTGTTCGGGTTTTTGTCCGAATAAATCGGTTTCAGCTTCGATTTTTATTCCTTCCGATACCAGCGGGAAATTGGATGTTTGACATTTACCGTTTTTATAATTACAAACAAAATTCGGTTCAATATAATTATATGACCAATGATTATCAAATGGTATTATTGTAATTGTATTAACATTTAATGATTCAAATTGTTTACTTGATTCGGTTGGTAAAACTTCTTCTTCTGATTGTCTTCGATTTCTTTCGCCATTATAATTCGATGATGATTGTTGTTTGGGTGAAAGCTTGATACGTAATCGAAATGCATCATCAGCCATTGCATCAAATGATAATATTTTTCCCTGATCAGTTATAATTGCTTGTCGACAAACAAACAAATAAGGACATGCTGATAAAATATTTTCACTTGTAAATGTTTGATTACGTTCTAAATTTGTTAATTCAATTGAAATCGATATTGATTGATCTAAATTATCCGGTGTATGATAATTAAGTATAATTAAATTTGTAACATTTTGTTTGGTAATGAATTCAAATTCTAAATTATCATTCATTTTATCCATACGAGCAAATTGATTTTTTGTATTTAATTTTTCCAAATATCCAATTTGATCATCATCAACTATCGATGGTTTCGTTTGTCCCGATTCTTTTATAATTAGAGCATCATTTACTGGAAGATGTTTACTTGTTATTGGATAATCAGGATATGAATGTAAAATACATGTATGATTATTCAATGGTTTATAAAGACAAGGTCCGGTTCTTTTTTCTTGAAATAAATTTGGATCATAATATGCTTGTGGTATCAATACTAAATAATCAATATAAAGATCATATTTATCTGATTGAAAATAAATTTGCCATGGACCAACACCTAATGATATCATACCACCACCATTTGATTGACGACCAGTAACATACAATAATTTTGGTTGATCAGTTGGTTCCATCGATATTGAAACAGTTTGTTCTTCTTCATTCATCCATTCATTCGGTATGAATCGTAAATTACCATTAATTGTTTCACTATTTTTATTAACATAATTAATAATAATTTTATAAATACTTGTTCTTGTTATAGTAATATTTGTAAATATTTCTTTTTGTAATGGACTGAATATTGCATAACCTCTCCATGAATAATCAGGGAAAATTTCATCATCATAACCAAATCTTGCTGTTGACCCGGTTGGATTATACCAATCTTCAGTTTCATATTGAAATTGATAAAATGTTGGAAAATATGTTGCTTCAAATGTTTCGGAACAAGTTTTTCCACGTATTCGTGATTTACAACGACATTGTCCAGTTAATTTATCACAATCCGAACTAACAGCACCACCAACATCACATTCACAATCCATACAGCCGAAAAAACGTGCCGAATTCAGTTGATAGGTATTCGGTTTACACATATTACAAGTTCGTCCTTGTACATTCATTTTACACATACAATCACCCGTTACGGTATCACAAATACCGATTCGACTAATTGTACCATTTTGATTACAATGACAATCTTCACAACCATATGGATTATTCATCTGTAGATTCCAATATAAATCTTTACATTGATTACAAATTCTACCTTTTACACGTTCTTTACATTCACAAAGTTTTCCAATTTCAACTTTATCACAACCACCAAATTCGGCTACTAAACCAGCTGGATTACAATTACATTCTAAAAAGTAAATAAAATTAATAAAAATACCTGGCTAATTTGATTATTATTTTTCGATTAACTTACCTTCACAATAAGGAAAATTATAATAACCTTCTTTACATTGTTCACATTTTTGTCCTTCATATCTATCTTGACAAAGACAATTACCCGAATGATCACATGAAACACCAGTTGATCCACGCCAATGACATTTACATTGTTCACATTTTGGAAAATTAAAATGACCAACAGCACAATCATTACATTTTATACCACCAAAATTTCCTTTACAACGACATTTACCATTATTATCGCATGAATTATTTGTTGAACCATCCATATTACAATCACATTTAATACAATTAGGATAACCATAATAACCATCTGAACATTTATCACAATAATTTTTTTCATAACCATCCAGACAATAACATTCACCAGTGATTGGATTACATTTTTCTTCAGTCGATCCTTCTGTTTGACATAAACATGATTCACAACGTGGATAATTAAAAAATCCCTGGTTACATTTGTTACAATTTTGACCACCATAATTTGTTTGACATTTACATTGACCAGTTTCTACGTCGCAAACATTATCAATTGAATTATTTGGATTACAATCACATGGTTTACAATCAGGAAATCCATAATAACCAGGTTTACATTCTTTACAATATTTTCCACCATAACCTATTTTAACAAAATCATTATCATTAGGTTAAATTTGACAATCGATTAATTCGATTAAAAAGATTCGATTACCTTCTTTACATGGACAACTTTCACCTTCACGTAATTCACATAAATTTCCAATTGTACCATTGGGAAAACAATGACATTCCTGACAAACAGGATAACCAAAATATCCAACGCTTTGTGGGTGAAATAGAAAATCAATCAGAAGTGTTAATTAAATTGGTCAAAATGAAAAAAAATGCAAAAAAAAATCATTACCTGCAACGATCACAATCGGGTGGTTGAAAATTTTTACGACATTCACATTGACCAGTTTCATCGAAACAATTTCCAGTTGAAAAATTTAAATCACATTCACATTGATGACAAACATCAATAGCATCTAATGAACGATTTTTTGGCCGATAAAAACCATCACGACATTTGTCACAATTAATACCGGTAGTATTATGTTGACAATTTTGACAAACACCACCACCTTCATATTTACCGTAAATATTTTTACTTAAATTTTTCCTGGAAATTTCTTCATCAAAATAACATTGATTTGAATGGCCATGACAATTACATTTTTCACAAACAAATAAATCACCAATTGTTGCTCTACGCCATTTATATTGTTGATAACCATCACAACATTCTTCACATTGTAAACCACATGTATGATGTTGACATGCACAGGATAATTTCAATGGATCTTGTGGTGAACTTTGATCACATTGTGATGCATGTCCATTACAAACACATTGTCCACCAATATTTATATCTTTGATACTGTAAAAATACTGGAAAAACAGAATCGAAAATCAAAAAACAAAAATTTGCTAAATATTGTTATATTGCATACACGTCGAGTTACGGTTGGTTCTTCTCTTGCTACCGAAAGTAAATGACCCAATGTAGTTTTTGGTCTTAAAAATCTTAAACGAATATTTGTTGCTGTTGTCCATTCTTGTAAAACTGTTGATAATGAAAAATTTTCTGCACTTGGTCGTCCGTTGATTAGAGAAATGGCAATCTAGTGATGATTATGTAATTAATTAAGGAAAAAATGACATCAATTTTCAATTGCTTACTTCACCATTTTCAAGTGGTACTAATTTTGAAAATTTTGTTTCACAAATAACCGAATCATCTCTGGTAATCGGTTGCAAAGTATGTTTACCAAAAAAATAACTACAATCTTGTGGTGTATCGGCAAAATATTGCCATGGATAATATGTTTGACCATAATCTCGGGAACGTTCCAATATCCAAACACCAGGACGTGGTGAATTACCCATTTTAATAAAAACATATGCAACATTGAATTCTTGTCCCAAATTCAACGTTAGATTAACTTTACTATATTGTGCACCACGTGATAATGGTGGACTTTGCCACCATCTTTCCGTACCATCAATAGCATATTGTGGTGGATGTGAACGTTTCGGATCATTTGGATCACAATAATCACATGCTTGTCCTTCAATTAGATTAAAATTTTCCGATTCTTCTAAACGATTTGAACCAACAATTTTACAATATAATTCTGGTTCCGGTACATTTTCACCACAAGTAGCGCTAGCAGTTATCTATATTGAGCAAACAAGAGGAAGAAGAAATCAAAACAAGATTCCACCATTGAACATTTGTTTTTGTGAGTGAAAATTTTTGTTTGTTTGTTTCGCTTACATTTCTTCCTTCGGCAATATTAAAATATGGTGGATTCAATACTTGCATATGAATCGTGCCATAGTTTTGACCGATTAAAATCAATAACAAAATGATTAGATTCATTCTTGATTCTTCTTGGTTCTTGATTCTTCAGAGCAACAAAGAACCAAGAAGATAATTCGGATGGATTCTTTTTTTTTCAAAATTCGATTCAATTAAATTCACTTTTGAGAGAGAAAAAAAATTTGTTTATAGAAATTCACACAGCACAGCACACCATTTGGTATCAATCAACAAATGGCCAATCAACAACGACGAAAACGAATCGAACGAAAACTCTAAAAATAACCAACCATATCGTTGGATAGAGGGGGGAAGAAAGTCAAAAAGACAAAGTAATCTATCAATGCGCCTATAGAGAACTTTGGTTTGGTGATTATATGGCAAAGACAACCAGAAAAAGAAGAAGAAAGCAGACTGCTGATGGGTGATAAGTTCATCAATTGGTTTCATCCATCCCTCGCCACCCCAAAAAAAGCCAAAATGCCAGGACAACGCCTATTTTACAAGTGAAAAAAATCGACGAATAAAAGAAAAAAACCGTTTTTCAGTTTTTAGACGAAAGAAAAAAATAGTTTACTTTAATACAGTTTGGCTATACAGTTTTCCTTCTTCTTCTTCTGGAAGATAATTCGGCATCGAATGTCAAAAAAGTCAAAAATCACCACCACCATCATCAAACAAAGTTGACATTCGAAAACAGATTTTTGTCAACCATATTTGTAATTTGAACCTTGAACCAGAGAAAAAAAAATCAAATATTCAATAAAACAAGCAAATTTTTTTGAAAGCAAACTTTATTTATTTTTGGATATTTTTAGTTTTAGTTTTTTTCGTACAAGAAAAACTCTTTTACAATGATAGATATATTTTCTTAAAAAGTTTTAACAAAGTTTTTAAAATTTATCTTTGGATTGTCATCATCATCATGATTGTTGTATGATACAAATATTTTTTTTTTAGAACGATAAATGCTGTGTGTCCATATTAGAAATAATAATAATTTTTTAAAAATTAAATTACAAAATATAATTAATTATAATTAGTCAGTTAACGAATATATAAATAATGAAAAAAGGCTTAATCAATGAATGAATGCAATGCACACTATATAAGATCACTCTCTTTTGGTAATAATAATGTTTTTGGTTGATTAACCATCGGTGATTGATTAACCATCGATAATTGATTAATTGGTTGTTGTTGTTGGTGTTTTTGGTTTGAATGCCAATATTTCATTGTAAATTAATTCTGTTCAAAATAAAAAAAAAAGGAAAAGAATTAGCATTGAATTTCTATGAATAAAGAAAATAGATACTTTTCCATTCCATAACGGATAAATTTTGTTCTTCAAATGAATCATCGAATGGATCTGTTCGGTGGAAAAAAATGAAACCAAAATTAAGACAAAAATTATTACCAATCATACCTGAAGTAGGTTCATCACTTGGATCAGCATAATCCGCTAAATATGGATGAGCCAATGCTTGTTCGGCTGTAAGTCTGATTTTTTGTAATTTTCATTTCATTAATAGAATGCCATACGTTTTTCATTGTATTTACCTTTTATCAAAATCTAATTCGAGCATTTTTTCCAATAAATTTATTGCTAATTTCGAATGTTTTAAGAAAAAAATTCAATTAATAAAGGTAAATCAGGTGAAATGACAACCGAACAAAACAAAAACAAAAAACATACCCAAAGAATTGGCAGTAGGAAATTCATCTTTAAAAATTTTCTTTTTCATTGGTTGTAATGTATTGATATAATTTCTTGCTTCTTGGCTTGTAATTTTTTTCATAAATTCTTCATCTGGTGTACCACATAATCTCATAATTTTTAATAATTGATCAATATCTATTTGTACACACAAAATGATTAAAGATTAAAAAATTATTTGACAATTTGGGTAAAAATAGACAGAAAAAAAATTATAACTTACGATCACTGCCAGGAAATAATGGTCTACCGGTAATCATTTCGGCCATTATGCATCCAACCGACCAAATATCCACTATATGGATGAAAAATTTTTGAGTAAAATTAAAAATTTTCAACTTTTTACAAACAAAAAAGTTAACAGTTTTTACTTGTAGAATTATAATGCATCCAATTAAGCATAACTTCAGGTGCACGATACCAACGTGTTGCAACATAACCAGTCATTTCTGTTTCGGATTGCCGTGCTAAACCAAAATCAACAATTTTGAGATCACAATTTTCATTTACAACAATATTACTGGGTTTTAAATCCTATGGGGGGAGAGAAAAGAAAAAAGAAAGGATTATTTATCGATCGATCGATTGATTGAGTACTTACCCGATGAATAACACCAGCTGAATGAATATATTTTAAACCACGTAAAATTTGATAAACCAATAATTTTACATGATCATCATGTAATTTTTGTGCACGAATAATTTTATTTAAATCAGATTTTAATAATTGATTAACCAGATAAACTTCACGAAAATTATCCAATGAATTACCGGATGTAAATACATCTAATAAACCAATAACATTATCATGTTCCATATGTTTTAATAGTTTTAATTCACGATAAGTTCTTTTTGCATGTATGGCTGTTTGAAATGGATTTGAAATTTTTTTTATTGCAACATTTTGTTTAACAATACGATCATTTGCTGAACAAACTAAACCATATGCACCGGAACCAAGTATCTGTAGATTTTCATAACGATTTGGTACTTCCCAAATACTATTACCAAGATCGATTCGAACATAATCAGGTTTCATCTTTTCTTGTTTTCTCAATGAAAATATCACCAAATCACCAACGTCAATATTGATAGTATCTTTGGTTTTTTTTTTTGCTTCGGTTTCGAATCAAATCAAATCGATGCTAAAAAAGTTGTTGAAAAGATGATCAGCAAGTTGATTATGAAAATATAAACATACCAAAGACAGGCGACGGGCAGGCAAGAATGTCAACAACAACAAAAACAAAAATGCAGATAGAAATGCTATATAGAATTGCTCAATCAATCAATCAATCTTTTCTATCTCACTTTATCATTGCAGCATAATTTTTTGGAAAAAAAACTTTAAAAAATCAACTAAATTTTGATAAAGAAAATTTATTATTTTCGAACCAAAACACGATCCCCGTTTTGAAAAAATTCCAACAAACAACTTATAAGGTCAGAAATAATTCCGAATTTTTTTCGTGTTTTTTTGTTTTGGGAAAAGGATATTTTCCAGGAAACTTTTCGGAGAAATATTATGAAAAAGAAAAAAAAACATTTGGCTCGCATGTGCATTCCATTCACCAAAACGAAAGGGAGAGAGAGAGAGTAATCAATCAGAAGTGTGTATGGTGTGTTTGGACTAGATTTTTCTAGACGCCAGCCTTTTTTTATTATTCTTGAACAGATCTTGGTTAAAATAACGCTTTTTGGCATTTGGTTGTTTTTCATTTGGTCATTCCATAATTCAAAGTTTTCAATCAGATTTTGTCATAAAATGGCTAAATGGGGTGAAGGTGATCCAAGATGGATTGTTGAAGAAAGACCTGATGCAACTAATGTTAATAATTGGCATTGGTAAGTTTCATGTTTGTTTGTTTGTAGTTATTCATTTTTTTTAACCCTTCATTCATTCATCATCAATCATAAAGGACTGAAAAAAATGCATCACATTGGTCAAAAGATAAACTAAAAACATTATTGGAAAATATTTTGATTGAAGAAAATGGTTTAGGACAATGTCGTATTAAACAAATTGATTCAATCGATGGTGAAGCTGTTGCCAATAATCGTAAAGGAAAATTAATATTTTTCTATGAATGGATTATTAAATGTACATGGATAGGAATTTTGAATGGTGATTCAACTGAATATAGTGGAAAATTAGAAATACCAAATCTAAGTGAAGAAAATAGTTCGGATGATATTACTATTGATGTATCGATTGATGATCCAAATAGTGCACAAGCTGAAATTCTTAAACAATTAGTTCGTACAAAAGGTTTATCTATTGTTCAAGATCGAATGAAACAATATATTACAGCATTACGTAATGAATTTGCAAAGGATATGATAAAACCAACAAAATTATCTGAAAGTAGTGGTGGTAATATTAATTCATTTCAAACTGAACAACAATTAGAAGAGAAGAAAAAATCTGAATCAAAAACTACTGCTAGCAAAACCGCTACGGTGTCGAAAAAACCCGATCAAGCCGGTGGCGATGTACCGTTTGAAACAACATCACTGAAATTGATTGAAAATTTTAAATGTACAGCTGAAGAAATTTATAAAACATTTACTGAAGAAATATTTCTTCAAGCATTTACTAGAAATAAAGTTAAATGTGATCCGGTTGTTGGTGGTAGATTTTCATTAATGGATGGTAATATTATAGGGAAATTTATTCAATTGGAACCAAATAAATTAATTCGACAATTTTGGCGATTAAAAAGTTGGCCACAGGAACATTATTCGGAAGTTGAAATTCGTATTGAACAACAAAGTGATTCAACACAAATTATACTTGAACAAAATGGTGTACCAAAATTAAACCTTGAAAATACTGAAGAAGGTTGGAAAAAACATTATTTTGAAAGTATAAAACGTACGTTTGGTTTTGGTGCTTCTTTCTATTGAAAATTGAAACTGAAATGAATCGCTTTCAAAAATTATTCCCGCTACAATGATTTGGTTGATCATAAATCTATAGAATTATCTTTATTTCTAAGAAACAAATTTTCCTTCATAGTTTTTTTTTGTTCCAATTTTCAAAAATGTATAAAAAAAAAATTTTATTTTCACAAACAAAAAAAAAAGAATAAATTTTTGAAATAAATCTATTTCGACACGAATGGTTGCTGAATTGATGGACATGCATGCTTGCCATGTTTTTGTTGATTTTTGCAAATTTGAAATTTTTTTTGTAAAAAAAAACAAAAATGTTTAGACCATATGAAATTCTGTTAAGATCCAACATGATCATCAATAATTATCGTTACTTTTCCAGAAGAATTGTTCAACAAAATGTAGTAAGAATAATTAAACCTTTGGCAGATAATCGAAGACAAACGATAAACGATCGTGATTTTAATCCACCCGAATATTCACGTAAACATGTGGATGAAGGTTTTGTTAATCAAGATCGATTTGTGGGAAAAAATGCTGATAATGATTCGAAGCCAAGCAGCAAAAACAATGCTGTTTTAAATAATGTTCCACCATTCGAAAGAAATAGCCGTATTAATAATCAATTTAGTGAGCAAATTATTAAAACAATTATGAAAAAAGATAAAACCAACACTGAAACAGCATTATTGGAAGGAAAAAGAATTATTAATGATGCTATTGAAAATAATTTAAAAATTACTTACATATTTTTTTCATGCAAAGAAGATTTAGATGATATAATCGATTTAAAACGTTTAGTTGAACAGGAAAAAACAACAAAATTGATTAAAGTTACGTATAAAGAAATGAAAATTTATAGTCAATTAAAAACACCACCAGGTATTATGGCAATAGTACAAAAACCTGATCAAAATGATTGGAAAAAAATTATCGAAAAAAATACGAATATTTTGCCATTAATATTGATTTGTGATAATGTTCGTGATCCAGGTAATATGGGTACAATAATTCGAACAAGTGCTGCAGCTGGTATTGAAAAAATTATTTTAACCGAAGGTTGTGTTGATCATTGGAATCAAAAAGTAATTAAAGCTGGTTCAGGTGGTCATTTTAAAATTCCTATTGAATCGAAAATTAATTGGAATGAAATTGCATCGAAATTACCTGAAACATTTGATTTATTTGTAGCTGATGTTAAAAATCCATCCAATTCAACGGAATCTTCATATCATTCATATCATCAAATTGATTATTTTTCCAATAATAATCGATCAAAAGTTTTGATCATCGGTAATGAAGCATTTGGTTTAAGTACAAAATGTTATGAATTTGTTGATAAATTTCATGGTCATTATTTAAAAATACCATTATCAAATAATTCTGAAAGTTTAAATTCAGCTATTGCATCGGCAATTGTAATTTATGAAATACGTAGACAATATGAATTGATTAATCAGGAAAAACAAAACAAAAAAATTTGAATGAATAAAAATGAGATTTTTTTTTTTTAATTTTTTTTGAAAAAAATTTGATTCGAATTCGAACATTAAGGTTAGCCATGATGTGTGTAAATAGTCGTCGATATTTTTCCACACTGCGGCCGCTTTTTGTCTGACACAAGTGACTAAGCGTTTTCATTCGAAATTATCATTTTTCAACAAAAAAAAAATTTGAAACAAATTCTTAACAAAATGAGTGCTATTGGAACCGGGGTAAGTAATTAGAATTCTTGTCAATTAACTTACTTAATTTATTCAATTATACAGTATGATTTATCAGCTTCACAATTTTCACCTGATGGTCGTGTTTTTCAAATTGAATATGCATTGAAAGCAGTTGATAATAGCGGGTTTGTATTTTTTTTCAATGTTTTTTTTGTTTATGAATAATATTTTCGATAACAGAACGGCCGTTGCATTGAAAGGAAAAGATGGTGTTGTATTGGCAGTGGAAAAAATTGTTACATCAAAACTTTATGAACCAGGAACAAATAAAAGAATTTTCAAAATTGATCAACATATAACGGCTGCTGTAGCAGGTTTATTAGCCGATGCTCGTACTATTATCGATCGTGCTCGAGATGAAGCTCGTGATTATCGTTCACAATATGGTATTCCAATACCGCTTGAACATTTAAAAAATCGTGTTGCATTGTATATGCATGCATATACATTGTATAGTGCTCTTCGGCCATTTGGTTGTTCGGTTTTATTTGCTGCTTATGATCCATTGGATGGACCGAAATTATTTTGCCTTGATCCATCAGGTATTTCTTGGGGTTATAAAGGTTGTGCTATTGGTAAAGCAAAGCAAGCAGCCAAAACTGAATTGGAAAAAATTAAATTTGCCGAAATGAATGTACGAAGTTTGATTAAAGAAGCATCACGAATAATTTATATGGTACATGATAAAGAAGGTAAAGATAAACAATTTGAATTAGAAATGGCATGGATTGGTGAAGAAACTAAAGGTTTACATCAATGGGTACCAAAACCAATATTTGATGATGCTGTTAGTCATGCTGTAAATGTGCTTAAACAACAAAGTGATTCGGATGAAGAAGAATCAACATCATAAAAATTTTTTTAAATTCAATTCAATTCAGAATAAAAATATGAAATTTATTAAAACATAAACATTATTATTTTTTACTTCATTTTTTTAAATAATAAAATGATAATTTTGAATTTGAATGTTGAGTGAAAATAGTTTCGAATGATGATTGAATCAAATGATGCCAAAATATTCGAATAGAGCATGAGCATATGATGGTAAAAAACGATAAGTAAAATAACAACAACTTGCCGTAATTGTAAGCATTACGGTATCTGAAATTTTGGGAAAAAAAATTTTAGTAAAATTATTTATCAATTAAGTGATTATAAAAAAAAACACTTACTAAATAATTTCTTTTCCCATGGTTCCAACATATATAATGATGTTCGTAATTCATAAACAAAATACCAATGTTTTAATCGATCCATTGAATGTTTTAATAATGAAGACATTTTGAAGGGATTTTTTGATTTTGATTGATGATCAGCCTGGTTTAATCAGCAGCAAACCAACGAAAAACACAAATAAATATGCAAACAGGTTAACAAGAAAAAAAAAAATAAACGCTGTCAACGCTCATCATCATTCCGAAAAAAAACGACCACAGAAGAAGTGGTACAGCGCAATGATACAGTTTTTCTTCTCCTCCCCCCAGGTTCCTATAGCATTCGAGGAGGGGGGAAAAATATCTCATTTTTTTTTGAAAATTTTATTAAATTTTTTTTGTTTTGTTATATTTAAAATTGTCTAGTGTAATCTGAAAATTGTTGATCAGATATTGTTGTTGTTGTTGTTGTTGATAAAATTGTTTGATTAATTATTTTTTTGATACGTTTTTTCAACGAATCAATAATATTGGATGATTGAATATTTGGTTCGATTGGATGATCTATTTGTTTGAAAAGATTGGTTGATTTTTTTTTCTTCGGCCACAATATTGTTGTTAGTTGATCCGAATCAACTGAAAAATCATCATTTGTTGTAATTGAATCTTGTCCATTATTGTTACCGAATGATGTTTGATCTTTATTTGATGATTTTTTCTTTAACAATAATTTTTTCAATACATTTTTCTTCTTATTTTCATCATCACCATTCAATTCTTTTCCATCATATATTATTTCTCTTTTTGTTCTAATAGCTTTTTTTTCGATTTCTGCTTTTTTTTTCATCATCATTTCTTTTAATTTTTTTGTTAATTCTTTTTTTATTTTCAGATTTTGTTTATCATATTTTGTGCTTCTAACAAAATCTTCACTATCTACAATATTTAAAGTAGGATTATTTGTTTCTTTTTCAATAGCTTCATATAAATTTTTTTCTTTCTCATTTAATTGAACATCATATTTATCTAATTCATCTAATATTTTATTAGCATATTCTAATTCAGTCATTTTACTTTTTTCCATTTTGAAAGCATCACCTGATATTATAGCTTTTTTCCTATTAGCTATTATTTCTTCACATTTTTGTTTTTTATCAATATGCCTTTCTAATAGTATTTGATATCTTTCTAATTCCTTACCAGATGATTTTTTTATCATTTTTTTACAATCCTCTATAGATGACTCCTGTCGATATTTCTCATGATGGTGACTTGCTAAAAAAGCCATTTCATCTTCTATAGTCCATTTTTCTTTTTTCATACGTGGAATAGGTTCAATTTTAGTTGTTTGACTTTTTTCTGGTTTCGTTGTAGATTGTGTCATTTTATCTACCAATTTGGATGTTGTTGTTTGTTGATTTTCAACTTTTGTCGAAACTGTTCCGATTTTTCCAGTTTGATCTTCACTTGTTGGCTTTCCTAAAGTAATTTCCAATTTTTTATCAAATTCATTTCGTATCCTATTCCTAGTGTCTTTGAAATTTTTAGTCCATTTTTCCATTTGATCCATCTCTCCGGACTTAGGAAAGTCTGTAATTTTTATCATTTCATGATGGACATCGACTTGTTCTTGATTTAAAATGTTGAGCATTTTTGTCAATAGTGAATCGGTGTCTTCGGTTTCTGTTACTATCAAACTTTTCAACTTTTCCGGTTTTGTTGATTGAGATTGATCAACATTATGAATATTTTCATACTGTCGACGAGCTTCCGACCGAATCAATTCTTCTCTTTTCAGTTGTTCTTCACTCTTTACTTCCTTTTTCGGCCATAATTTTTTTAAAAAATTTTTAGTTTTTGTCATCACACCGGTTGGTTGTTTATATTTTTCTGGATCTTTATTGAATTCATCCCAGAAACTTGAATCATTTTTCGACTTTGCATCAATTTCTGATTTGATTTTTTTTTCAATTTTTTTCAAATTATTTTTCAATTCTTTTTCCAATTTTTCTTTTGTTTTTATTTCGTCTTGTTGTTTTGAAATTGATTTTGTTTCTTCATTCTTATCCGTCGTCGTCTGTTTCGATGCGTTTTGTAAGGATTTATTGTTGAGAATATCCACTTCATGATCATAAACAGCACGAACGTATTCCTTTTCATATAATTCTTGAAATTTTTCTGCTTTGTAAGCTTTTTTTGCATTTACTTTAGAGCTAAGCTGTTTTTTCCAAAGACAATAACCAGACAAAATCATCAATGAGATTCCAGATACTATACCAATTCCTATTGCTATCCATAACGCAGCATTACCTCCATCCTCATCCTTGTTACAAGGATTGTTTATTATGATTGGTTGACATGATTTATCAAACAATAGTCGTGTTTCTTTGTCATTACGATCGGAATAGTCTGGATCACATTCAGACAAAACTTTTGTTTCGCATTTTAAAACATCATATACGAAACAGCAGAAATCCCAACTTTCGGTGTACTGTGTGTTTGAAACAAAAAAACAAAAACAAAAAACATAAAAACATTATGATTTGAGCTTGAAGAATAATTATCGAATACAGTACTTACATAATGTTGTAATGTTATTTTCCATTTATCAATGGCATTTATTTGACATTTTCGATATTTTTCTTCGGTAGTTTTATGATCGGACGTTAATTTACATTTTCTTGGAGCACCATATACTGATTTATATGGTATCATAATTCGATCATTTGACATTTCATCATGAACATTCTTAGCAACAATCATTTGAATGAAATATAAAAATAAAAGGCTACATTTCAAAATCATAATAGCCATTCAATTTTCAATCAACAAAAATTACAAAATTTACATAATTTTTTGATTTTGATTTTTATATTTTCATTCATACTATTGTTATCGGAATTACGAACAATTTTTTTTTACTAAATTGAATGTTCGAACATTTGTTTTTTTTTTCTATCGAACATTTATAAATCATATATTGTTACAAATCGATTCGATATTGAATAGTTTTTTTTTGTTCTTTTTTTTCATTGCTCAAAAAAAAAAAAAATAAAATAAAATAAAACAGAGGTTAGGTTAGGTTGATGACTATGACTATGACTTATAGTTCAGTGAGGTTAGGTTAGGTTAGGTTGATGACTATGACAATGACTATGATTTATAGTTCAGTGAGGTTAGGTTAGAATAGAATCTGATTTTCAAAAAAAAAAAAAAAAAAAAATTAATTAAAAAATTTTTTTTTTTAAAAAAAAAAAAAAAATTTTTTTTTTAATTTTTAATTTTTTTGTTTTT